CGGTTCAGAACTGTTAGCCTTGAGGAGAGTTTGATGGTGATACACATACCACTTTGTGCTCCTGTGTAATATTTGCTTCCTCAATCACAGAATTTGGCTGGAAATGTTGGAATTTATGCAGTGCACCGAAATTCCCTGCTGGGCAACACCACCAATGAAAGCTGGCTGAACAGAAAATGCTTTCCTGTGCAGTGGTGTGCCAGGCAGCCTGTGTGTGTGTGTCACATTTTGGTGTCTGTGTTTTGTTTTGATGCAGTTAGATCTAAAAGATGCTGGTGGCTCCGAGGTACCATGGCAGAGGGACTGTTTCACACCATAAAGATTGGTTGTTCAGTCTGCAGAGCAGGATTGACACCCCTAAGGTCCTCTGTGAGTGTCAGATCATGTTTGAAGAGTGTGCCATGATATCTTGGGGATACAGGATCTGTGTGGAGAAGTACAACAGCAGAGTAACATCTGCAGCCTGAATTTGGCTACAGGTGCAGAAATTTTAGAAGCGTGTGTAAAACCACTCACTCTCCTCTTCCATGCAACCAGACAGGAAAAGTTGTTCAAGGCCAGGTCAGACAGGGCTTGGAGCAACCTGGTCTAGTGGAAGGTGTCCCCGTCCATAGTGGAACCAGATGGTCTTTAAGGTCCTTTCCAGCCCAAACCTGTTACCTGCTCTGCTGCACTCTGAGCTCATGCAAACTAACTCCACTCCAATTTTTGTGCAACTTCCCCAGGTCGCTCTGATGTTCAGCACAAAATTGCTCTTCCCAGGCAGTTAGAGTTCTCTCTGCAGAAAATCTTGGAACACATGTCACTGCCTCCTGGAAATTACATTGCTTGAATAAAGCTAACGGCTGGAACTTGTGTTAGGGACCAAATTAAGCAATAGGAAGGAATAGCACATAGAAAAGTAAAGTGCAAGTAAAAGTTGCTGCCGTTAAATTAAAGGACAAAATAACTTTTTTCATTCGTGTCACTATTTCCCTTGTAGAGCACAACCAAAGAAGAAGAAGAAAGTGGATGTGAGGAAAGAGCAAGCACAGAAGGATCGTCTGAAAAAGAAGATTAAAAAGTTGGAAAAAGCTGCCCCAGAACTTATTCCAATTGAGGATTTCATAACACCACCTCAGTACTTAGACAGCAACAGGTAAGTCAGTCTGTCTTTCACCATGTACCTGCATTCACAGTGAATGTCTTTCTCTGCACAAGCACAACATTGTGCCAGGGCTGGCACTGAACCTCATCTACTTCCAGCAGG